AACAGGTGTAAAGTGTAGCCAAGCAGACGAGATGTAAATAAAGAGTGGACGTCAGGCGGCGGTGGGTGCAACCATGCGAGTGTTGTAACACACATGACATTTGCATGTATGTACGTAATGTCAATAGGAAAGTGTCACGGATACGTCCGAAATTGTGACAGAATAGGATTTTCGGGTCATACATTAAGTGTTTGGATTCTGTTACAAAAACAAAAGACTTGAATATTTTTGCTGAAAATATCAACTGAACTCTCTGCGCTGTTTTTTGTTATTCTATCAGACTCTTCTATTAATAAGCACGCACGGGAGGCTGCGAAGTAGCAATGATTTTGATGGACAAAGCAGCCGTTATACAATTTAATTAAGTCTTTGATCTCACATCGGTGGGTGACGGCATCACGTGTCTATGGTCTTCGGTAACCATTTCATACTGAGTGAATCGCGAGTTCGTTCACCCATCACTGCAAAAGATACATGTTTATATCAAGTATTACTGCAATTTTTCTTTTTAACGAACTTTTCAATGAACACAAAACTCAAAAAGAATCTACGGACTCTAACGGTCTCATGGACACATTATGGACTCTTAGCCTATAAACGAGTTTTCGACTGTTTGCTTCAATGGCTCTTGTCCAATGGGATCAACCCTGTGCTAGTCTCTACAGATCCCCATAAATCTTAACGACATCAGCGCGCGACTAAGCCAGCCCTTACTGAGTGGCGGCCTCAACTCTGACCAGTTGATCAAGAGTTAAGCGCATGAATGTGTCAAAGCTAATGTGGATAGTTGAAGTGACTTGTCGCAAACAACTAAAATAGGGAAGAGTCTACCGTCGAGCACGTTATCTCGATAGACCGGCGGCCAGAAAGGTGTAGTTAAAAAGCTTGTGATTACGCGAAATTCTCTAGAAACAATCGGGGTTACGATTCAGTTTTCGCCAGTGATATATCACACTACCAGGCGATCAACAATACAAACAGTTTTTGTCGCGGCGAAATTATCTCTTGAAGCAATCTTTTGTAGGTTTCGAATGCTGGCACTGACATTGGATGGACAAGAACCATGGGAGAAAATGATTTGAACAGAATTCAGTTAACTCCACTTAAAGACCAGCCCCAGAGAGTTCTCCACTTTAAAAACAAGTTTTAATCACTTCTCCCGTACCACGCTTCAAGAGAAACTCTTATGGTCCATATATCACGCGTCCACCGTGCTATCATTCGCATAGCAATGCATGCCATCAATAGATAGCATGCCATTGATGTGCATTATGAAAAGCGTAGGGGAGAGCATCGAACCTTGTGAAACGCCAGCGCTGATAGTCATGGTATCGGAGTAGCAGCCATCGACGACGGCTGTGGTGCTCCAATACCATGCTATGATGATCACTCCCCGTTATATGGGCAGTATGCACTTCTGTCTACAAAGCCCATGTGTAAGCATACATATTTCGCTACCACCAGAATATACCCCATCTCGAACCCTTGATTTCATGGTACCGCTATGGAATTGCGATACTTCCTGCACGTTTATTACGACACAAAGTTTATTTGTATATAAACGAATTGATTGGGAGCACCCGGTATGGTAACTTTCACTTTTGTGTGGCCCTAGTAATTAATAAGCTGTAGCGTTTCCTGTTGCGCTTTTTCAGGGGCCTTATTCACATAGTAGACTCACTATACATGTTTTTTCTTTCTACCAATTAAGAAAGTTGAGATTAAGGGTCGGAAACCTTCGAAACCTTCTTAGAAATACTGTTCATTTCATGAAACTGTTTTGAAAATAAAAACACTCTAAATCCGAGAATTCACGCTACATCTTTTAACTTGAGCTGTTTATTTACTGATAGCGTCTCCTGATGCAATAGTTTTACGCTATTTTAATTGATATTTCATTGTTCATTAAACGTTGTTAAATAATAGATATTTGCTAATAGCAAATATAGACACGTTTCGATATTTTTTTAAAGTCTACAAGCAAGCATCAAGAAACTGCCAAACTAAACTATTATTCATAATCATACGTAATTGATGTCTAAGAGACAGCCAGCTTTGGCGGCCCACTGAGTTTCTCGCCGGATCTTCTCAGTGGGTCGCGTTTCCGATCCGGTGGTAGATTCTGCGAAGCACTGCTCTTGCTAGGGTCAGTGTTAGCAACACTCCAGTAAGAGCCCCGTGAGCTCACCTACACACGTTAGGGTGAAGCTGAAATAGCCTCTCAAGGCTATCAGCATAGGTAGGAAAAAAGAAAAATGGCGGTATTAGGTAGGTAGAGTAAGGGCCTGTATTAGGTAGATAAAGTAAAAGATAGGGCGTACAGTAAATCCTCATGTGTAGCCCACACCTGCCTATTTCTCTCGTGAACCATTCACGAGTGTAAAGAACACTGAGTCGTTCATTAAATATGTCAGACTTCGATTTCATCTCTAAGGCAGGCGGTGGCCTGACCCCCAACCCCCCTTTTCTAGAGGGGGTTGGGGGGTCATTCATCTAATCCGAAACAAAATGAATTATATGTATTTCTTCTCGTGAACAAAACAAAGTTCAGTCTAAAAACCCACTATCTCGGTTTGGCGAGACAAGCTCCACACCGCTGCGCCATTAGGGCGTTATGTAAAACATATTAGTTGCCGAAACAATGCGGAACATCTCCGCGCTCGGAATGCAGTGGAACAATGGCTTCGTAACAGACGAATAGCAAAGGTCGTGCGTTCGACACCCACCTACTGTAACTCGAATTTAACTCTTTTTTTTTTATTGCTTAGATGGGTGGACGAGCTCACAGCCCACCTGGTGTTAAGTGGTTACTGGAGCCCATAGACATCCACAACGTAAATGCGCCACCCACCTTGAGACATAAGTTCTAAGATCTCAGGTATAGTTACAACGGCTGCCCCATCCTTCAAACCGAAACGCATTACTGCTCCACGGCAGAAATAGGCAGGGCGGTGGTACCCACCCGCGCGGACTCACAAGAGGTCCTACCACCAGTAATTACGCAAATTATAATTTTGCGGGTTTGATTTTTATTACACGATGTTATTCCTTCACCGTGGAAGTCAATCGTGAACATTTGTTGAGTACGTATTTCATTAGAAAAATTGATGACTCGCTGATTTGTCGCTGAGCCGGTCGTTCTAAATGGGGAGGAGTATATTATGTATGTATGTCGGTGGATACGATGATAGCGTTACCTTAATATCGTATGCATTGTATGTACTATGTTTCGTTTTATTGTTTAAGTAGTAATTTCATTTGTAATTATACAGATGTGTGTCTGGTGCATCTACAGTTTCCTAATCCAGTTGTATGCTCAGTGACGCTCACGGTTCGCATTCTACCGGTAATGTTGCATTGATAATCGTCCGGGTAGGGTAAGTTCGATGTCAAAGTGGAAAAAACCTAAAACTTTATCCAAAGCCTATACTTTATATGTCCAAAGAAATTAAATGAGCTGTTTGTAATTTAACATTAAAAATATGCAGTCATACTATTTTAGGCAAGCAAGTTACTACCGGAATCCAACGATTTAACTTTGCAACGCAAGCGGGAAGTCTTACTAACATAACGGCTATCGGACGTTTCATCACATTGCTATCACTTTCGAGTTCCAATGGTTAGGGCGAACGTTACGTTGAGTACTGAACTTTGGTGTTATACCGACCATCGCGGTCCATGACTGATACCTTTACTTCGGTCGCCGACAAAATGTATTCACTTATGACATACTTGCTTAGTGGTAAATTGTGTTTTAATGCTCTCCCACTGGAGTTGAGCCATTGTGAGAATAGATAGATTCATATAGGGGTGGTTCTGTGGCTTGCTAATCAATATTATTTCCTTTTTTATATAATCCATTAAGAAGGATCCTTACAAAAATGTAATAATATCTTAAACGCATGTAGGTACTAATTATTATTGTTAACATATATTTTATTCGATCATTTTTTCTTTAATTTGACCAACTCATCGCATTATTGCAGTAATTCTACATTAAAAAACAGTAAATGGTGGACTCTACTAATGATAGGGCGTATTGTTTTATTGTATTAACAGATGAACGAGCTCGAGGTTCATCTAATGTTAAGTGGTCACTGGAACCTATAGACATGGAAATATTAATGCCACCGCTCATCTTGAAACATCAAGTGTCTTAATTGAATGCATAATGACCTTCCCGACCCTTCAGTCCTGTGATAGCGCATAGATCGGCAGTTTTTCTGCCTATTTCACGTAATTGAATAAGCTAGGCTGTCGGCGTGGCCCTTCTAAAAAGATTATCTGTATTCAAGGATTAATAAAGTAAAGAAAATATATGGCGGGTCATCGAGATGTACAAAAACATTCAAAAAACGTCTGCAGGACAAATGGAGGACGGAGACAATGAACTTAAAAATGTACCTGTGTGCGGACACGATAAATAAATAACATGGTTTATCATTTTATACTTTCATTTTTATTGAAGTTTATCAGAACGAAAAGAGGTATATTGTGTTTGTAGGCAGACACGTGAAAAGATTCATTGCTATTAACAAATTTTGAGTAGAACATAAATACTAGGTAGACAATATTAACAAATTTAATATGGTTAATTTTTGTTTGTAGAAAGTTTTTGAATGTCACATTTATTTTAGGGCTAAACGGATTCAATTGCTAACATGTAGGCGCAACGTCACTCGCTGTTTCGTTTAGACTCTTAAAGTAGGTATGCTCTAAAACATTTTGCTCTGGGTTCGGCATTGCATAAAATTGGTTACGATCTCATCCAAATGAAAATAAAGACTTACCAAAGCAGGTGAATCCAGCGGTCGATTGGTTTTAGATCTTGACTTTCTGAACTCGCTGTCGCCATCCGAAGGTCTAGAGTGCTGGTCACTGTCTCGGTCTGAGGAATTGTAACGCCTGCTTTCTTCTTTACGACCCTTATATCTTCTCTCTTCTTTTAGTGTGTTCTCGTATCTAAAGAANATCTCATCCAAATGAAAATAAAGACTTACCAAAGCAGGTGAATCCAGCGGTCGATTGGTTTTAGATCTTGACTTTCTGAACTCGCTGTCGCCATCCGAAGGTCTAGAGTGCTGGTCACTGTCTCGGTCTGAGGAATTGTAACGCCTGCTTTCTTCTTTACGACCCTTATATCTTCTCTCTTCTTTTAGTGTGTTCTCGTATCTAAAGAATAAACTGTTCATTGTAATAATTCAAATTATTTCAAGGAATCGCATGAAGAGACGAGATTAAAATGATCAGGATGCAAACACTTTAAGCTGGTGGTAGGACCTCTTGTGAGTCCGCACGGGTAAGCATCACCGCCCCGCCTATTTCTGCCGTGAAGTAGTAATGCTTTTCGGTTTGAAGGGTGGGGTAGCCGTTGTAACTATACTGAGACCTTAGAACTTATATCTCGAGGTGGGTGGGGCATTTACGTTGTAGATGTCTATGGGCTCCAGTAATCACTTAACACCAGGTGGGCTGTGAGCTCGTCCACCCATCTAAGCAATAAAAAAAAACTTTGTTAATTTTTAATTTATCTGTCTATAAACCAACACAATTATAAAGTGTTTTTTTGCAGTCTCCGGGTTAACATATAATAGACATGTTTTATTTCATATTAACGACGGTGTCTGATTAACTTCAAGAATAAGTTCTGAATCGCTATTTTTTTTAAAATCTTATGACACTCGGTCACAACTTATAGCAATAAGTTGTGACCGAGTTTCAAAATTAGCAAATTTTATTAAAACCGTTTCTAATGACTCCACATTTTTATAAAGCACCAAGTTACCTGAACTTAAAAACGTAATGGACAAGGTACTGATACTCCTGGCTTTACCGTTGTCTACGGGCGACGGTGAGCACTCCAAAAACTCAAGGCTGTGGAGAAAGTAATTAACATACCTTTTGTCATAATCGGTTTCTCTGTATTTCCTTTCCACATCACTGTCCCTAGGCTCGATACTTCTGTATCTGTGTAGGTCTTCCCGGGAACCCCTATATCTCCTTTCGTCGGCTTGACATTCATAGTCTATCTTCTTAACGACTATATCGCTTGGTTCAGGATCTGTATATCTAAAATGAAGTTTTGAAACAATCAGGGCTAGATAAATGTTGTTTGTTGTGCTTTATATTTGTACTAAGGTAGTTGTTTTAATAGCTGCTATGAGCAGATAAGCTTGAAGCTCATCTAATATTGTTGTCTATAAAGGAACAGAGTAGCTAGTAAATAACAAGACACAATAGGTTGTAGTGTCCCTGACTGATTCGCGGCCTTGATTTTTGTGTTATGAGGTTATACCTCCATCCTAGAAGTCGTTCATGGCTACGTGTTTATATAGAAAAAATATGTTATCGTTTAAGCAGCTTGTAGAGATTATATCGAATTCATTATGTGTCCTCGTAAATGCATAGCGTTGGCTGCCTTATTTTTCTTATTTATAAGACCTAGTTGAAAATACAAGAAAATTATTTTTTATGTGTGTAAAATAGAACAAGTTTGTTCCGATGACTGCAATTTTTATAAAGTACCAGGTTATCAGAACTCTGCAGGAAGTTTGATGTTATCGCATCGTTCTGCGAATAGTTTTGACTAGTTCGTTGATTATGTTTTCCTGGTAGCTGTCCTATGAATTCCAAATTTAAAACATTATTTTTTATATATTCAAAATTTGGCGAAGAGCTTCATCACAATTTACATGCTCAAACGTGAAAAGAAAGCCACAGCACTGATGGTCCTTATAAGAAGCATCGGAACAAACTCAGGCGTGTCTCTCTTATTACTTACTACATATTATGGTCCACGCAAACAAAGACACATACATGCACATACATAATTTTAAAAATAAAATATTGAAAGAGAAATTGTCATTTCTCAGGAAGTACCCAAAGTAAGTTTGAAAAAAGTTGCCCAACCGATGGAAAGTACCTTCTATACTCGGAGTCGTCTTTGGCAAGATGTTCAGGGCTCTTGAGCACCCGCGTGCGAGTCTTCTGCTGGACAGGTTCCTTCTCTTTCTTGCTCTTCTTCGAAGAGTCGCGAGAGAATAGTTGTTTCATCTATTAGCAAAACGAAAACAACAACAATTTTGATTAAAGATGAAAACATATATTAACACGAAACGTTTTGCTAAAAATATTCTGAACTTAGTTTTACCTTTTCGAGTCCAGAAAGTTTTTTTGTTGCTTTCGGGGGTTTCGCACTGATTTTTTCATTGGTTCTGCTTGGACTTTTGTCGTAGCTGTCATATTTGTGGGCAAAGTGAGACCCGTCATCGGCACTCCGATCCCTTCCTGCCTGCTCCTTTCTGTAACGCCTCTCCTCTTCATCTCTGTAATCTTTGAACCTCGCCAAGTACTCGCCATTCGCGTATATCTGTTCGCTGGGGTAGTTGTCTTCTGTGTGCCTTCTCTCGCTGTCTAAGAACAGCGACGTGTTCCTGACGTCGTCCTCGCTCTCGTGTCTCCTATACCGTCTGTGAATTTCTCCACTGGAATCCTTACGGAAATCGTTCTCGATTCCAGAGTCCACAAGTCTGTTATCGATGTCGTAACGCCTCGGAGATCGATCGTCTCTGTAATAATCTCTGCTGTCACCTGAATCGTGGCGTCTGATCGCAAAATCATCTTGATACTTATCCTTATTTTTGCCTCGGCGTAAAGAATTATGGTAAGATTCCGAGAATCTTGGTAAATTTGCATACTCCTCCTCACGTTCCTGAGCGATTTCAGGGTTGGATGCGTAGTGACCTTTCCGCTTACCAAACCATTCGTCCTTAATTTTGAATTTGTGTCCAGTTTGCAGGGCGTCCTGACTAGAAGTGACATGCTTTTTCACTTTATATTTTTTTTCTTTGTATTCGTTAGGAGTCAGCACTGGCTTTTGTAGATTGGATTCAAGACTTGGAGGTTCGTATTCTGGTTCAGGAGGGAACACCTTCCTGTTCTCTTTGTACCGTGAATCGTATCTATCAACGAACTCTCTTCTGTCTATCTCTCCTTTATTATCTTTGTAAGTTCTCGTTTCAGTATTGTATTTAACTTTACGATTATCAGAATCGTATTTGCTGTAGTCTTCAGTGACACTACTCTCGGCGAAGCCGTCCCTCTCTACAGTATTACGACAGTACCTAACCGTTTCATTAACAAACCTTTCTGTTGCTTTCATTCGTTTTTCTGCTTCGTAAATCGGGTCTGTTTCCAAATACCTGGAAATAGGTTCTCCAATATTGTTTCGTTCTCGTTCGAGCCTTCGAGCGTTTAACCGCGATTCTAATAGTTGACGTCTGTGACTTAGTTCGTTAAAATCCAAATCGACTTTGGTGTGTTCAGGTTCATATTGTTTCTTCTTCGTGTCCATACCGTCGGCCCTTCCACGAAACTTATTTATTAAGTCGTGTGAGTCGTCATTAGCGTATGTCGGTTCCAGGTCTTCGAAGCTCCTGAGCTTGTACTCCCTGAATCTTGGCTTAATTGGTGAATCGGTTATCTTATAGCTGCCAATCGTGTTAAACTGTGGGTTTTCATTAGCTTTGTAATCGTAATCATACATTCGAGTGCTTGAAAACTTATTTCTCTCTTCATAGCCGAGTCCTTCATCTTCATCTGAATTGTGTACATATCTTTCTCGCGTTGGAGAATTTTTTTTGTGTGCAATTTTTGATTTATCGTGATCAGCGATATCTTTAATTACTTGTGCGTAAACAACTCGTTTGTCAGTCATTTTGTTAACTGGAGATGGCACTCTATCAGGACTGGTAGTTCTCACAAAGAGGTTTGGGTCAGGACTCACACTGGGCTTAATATAGGAAAATGGTTGATTTACGTTAGTCCCGTTCGGAGGTACGATCAAGTGGGACTTAGGAGAAGTAAATTGATCTTCTTTTAGAATTTTTACGATATGATCCACAGTTTGTCCTCTAGTCAGCGGCGGTTTATCAGGAGGCTGCTGACTGCTATGTATCATATCTTTGCTACCATAAACGTTCTCTTCGATTTTCCGGATGCTATCTTTTATCTTATCTTTTACTTCCGCGGAATTATTTTCTTTAGCTTTGGAAGCGTCTATTTCATCAACTAAAATTGTTTTCTTTATTTCGGATTTTCGTTTCGGTGTTTCGGTAATGGAGGGCGACTTATCTATTTCAGAAGATTTTCCTCTCTTGGTTCTTGTTGGAGGCTTTGGATCCTGGTTCTCAGGAGTTTTGTATCTTGGCGGTTTCTCGACTGGGTTAACTTTCTTATTTTCTGTTTTTTTCTCCTCTGCTTTATCTTTATCTTTTTTTGTTACCCTTTGCTTCTGAAGTAGATCCAGTGGAGAAGTCTTTTGGAAATAGTCTTCTCGCGGTGAACTTTCTATAATGGGCGATAGTTGCGACTTTTTGTTCCTGAGTGATTTAAGGAATTCTTCAGTTTCGCTGCCAGATCTTTTCCTAATTGGTTTATTTTGCGTGTTCAGGCTGGTATTAGATTTCAGATCGGTGACGTCACTTTTGCTCCTCTTTACAACTGCAACTGGTTTTGTGGAAACAACGACTGGCTCACCGGGGCTCTTGTTTCTTTGCGCTTTTCGGAATATCGTAGAAAGCGACGTCCTTTCTTTAGCTTTCTTGGTGCTCACATCGCTCGTAGACCTGCCCAAAGGAGTTTTACCATCCGGTGAAGTGTCACTGTTTCTTCTAGCGTTTTCTTTGAATTTTCTTCTGTGAGGAAGAGAAAAGAATTTCTCTGGTGGATGGTCTGCAGTGCAAGTGANGGGGCTCTTGTTTCTTTGCGCTTTTCGGAATATCGTAGAAAGCGACGTCCTTTCTTTAGCTTTCTTGGTGCTCACATCGCTCGTAGACCTGCCCAAAGGAGTTTTACCATCCGGTGAAGTGTCACTGTTTCTTCTAGCGTTTTCTTTGAATTTTCTTCTGTGAGGAAGAGAAAAGAATTTCTCTGGTGGATGGTCTGCAGTGCAAGTGATGCTCTGTGCAGCAGCTAGTACTTTATTAGCTTCTTCAATTAGTTCTTCTTTAGATAGATGAGTGAAAGGTTCTTTTCTAACTGATAGAGTATCAGAGGCGCCCCGCGTCTCACGTGGTTTACCTGCAAGAATACATTGCATTTATTAATTGTATTTGTTATGAAAATGATCAATCCGTTTAGTTACCTACATTATAGTATTGAAAATTTGGTAAGACTTTATTTAGACCTCAGAGACAAGAAGTAAGCATTTTTATTAAACTGTACATAGTTTTTTATTTATTTATTAATGAGTGAGACTTGTCGGTGTATTTTTTTTTATCTTAAAATTATTTTTTCTATTTAATCTATTATTTTATTATTATAATATATTTATATATTTCAGAAATGTACTCAAAATAAAGTTCTAAAGTCAGTTCTATATTTTAATGATGGGGAACACTTTTATTAACTTGTAAAGTTGTCAATCACAATATGGCATAACTTACATCTCATTTGCGTTACTAGTGCCAAATGCCAAATGGTTGAATTTGATCTATTAAATAGTACTTCATTTTTTTATCTTTGGTTGAAAATGAAAAGAAATTAGTTTGAATCATTTTTTACAACAATACAGATCGTCAAATCGTTACTTGACAAAAAAAGACAATAAACAGAAGAAATATTACAATTACACTGTATTAACTTTGTCTGGTTATAAATAGATTTACTAATTTTTTTTTTTTTTATTGCTTAGATGAGTGGACGAGCTCACAGCCCACCTGGTGTTAAGTGGTTACTGGAGCCCATAGACATCTACAACGTAAATGCGCCACCCATCTTGAGATATAAGTTCTAAGGTCTCAATTATAGTTACATTACAGCTTACACCTACATTTGGATAGAAGCGCCATATAGCGCCATAGGGATGCAGAAGTTAATCAAAAGCTACTGTTATTCATTAACAATGTACCAGACTGGGATAAACAAAAAGAATTGTCCCAATTAATTTCAATTTAGCAACAGAAGTGATTAATAGAAATAATTAGTGTTATTAGTAACGTGTAGATCATTAATCATTTTGTCAGTTAAGATAAAATCGAAGTTTTTATAACTCGTAATAAATAAAAATATAGCTTGCAAATCGGATACAAGGTTAAATATTATACTTTTTTATTTACAAGATCTTTCAAAATCTTCGAATGGATTTCTCGCTCATTATTGTTATAGTGTAGACGGGTAAATGTGCTTACGGTCCACTTGGAGCTAAGTGGTAACCGTAGCCCGTAACATAGCCCGCCTTATTACTATTTATTTAATTACCCACTTGATGTGTGTTTTTGCCTTGATTTACACAATAAGAACTTACTACTGGTCCCTGAGTAGTCGAAATTCGACTATAATTAATTGAAACTATAAGTTTGTGCAATATTATGATTCTATTGTCAAAGACTCTTAAACTTCTATAATCACAGATTCGCCAAGACTACACTTTAGACAAATATTAATAAAGGCAAACAATAATTAATCTACTCTCAATTTGACCACAGACTATAAGCAATAAGATTAGTTTGACAATAAACAAATAATATGCATGCGTGTGTGTGTCAAATACATGGTAGTGTGTGTAATGTTTTTTTTATTGATTTTAATGTATTTTTCATGCATAATTTTAAAAAATATTAACATTCTGCACTCCTTCTCTAGGTATATTCTCTATAAGTGCGGGAAATTTCATACTCCTCCGTCCGCGCAATTTTCGTAAAAAGGGGTACAAAGTTTTTGCTTCACGTATTAATATATGGATGTTTGTGCAATGAAATTAAACTCGTAAAATAAATGCGTAACGATCTATAGACATGCTGTGAGCCGCCGTGAGGTTTAGTCTAAGTCTTGCTTATGTGATTCATACAGGTATACATATTGTAGCAAGTAGGGTAATGTGAATTTTATTATACCAAATACATTTCAACTTCATATTAATATTGAGTATGTCTCAATTAAGTTAGATTGGTCATCAAATTAATAAGGCAGGTCTTTGTGATGTGATGATGATTTACTGGTGGTAGGACCTCTTGTGAATCCGCACGGGTAGGTACCATCGCATTTCTGCGGTGAAGTAGTAATGCGTTTCGGTTTGAAGGGTGGGGTAGCCGTTGTAACTATACTGAAACCTTAGAACTTATATCTCAAGGTGGGTGGTGGCGCACTTACGTTGTAGATATCTATTGACTCCATTAACCACTTAACACCGAATACGCTGTGAGCTCGTCCACCTATCTAAGTAATAAAAAAATAAATAACTATGTACTACTAGTGATTCCGACTAGGTACGCCTGGCTGTTGTCGGTGATCATCTAAAATACGAGCAAATGCCAATACAATATGCGGCCCACAAATAGTATTTTATTATTACTATGCAAATCTTTAGTGTAGGGCTAAAAACAATAGTATAGAATGTCAATTCAATCGGATAATGAAGCTTTTTTAATGAATTAAGAAAAAAAAATTGATTTAATGAATGAAGGTAAATAGGTGTTTTATGCCTAATACCTCGGGGCCACGAGCCAACTTCACATACATATGTATTTACGAGAGGAACAGGTTTATGTGTCGCAGTTTTGGTGACGTCACGAGATGGTATAGTCACGATTATTTTTAGCGTTGACTTTCGGAGTAAACAAGCTTTCTTGTAAGACCTTTTTTGTTAGTCGGCTTAAGGTACCGTTTTGTTGGCTGCTATCGAATTTTAACAACAGTAACTTTACTGTTTCCACTATCAATATTATTGTAATAAGACATAGAAACGGCCTCTTAATCGTAAGCGCTCTAAGGCGTAAGAATGGGTAGACATGTACTTGCATGATATTTTCTGTTAGATTTGTTGTACACACCGCTGACGTTTGTTGATATTCATTTTTGTGAAAGTATTTTTTTTATTGCTTAGATGGGTGGACGAGCTGACAGCCCACCCGGTGTTAAGTGGTTACTGAAGCCCATAGACATCTACAACGTAAATGCGCCACCCACCTTGAGATATAAGTTCTAAGGTCTCAAGTATAGTTACAACGGCTGCCCCATCCTTCAAACCGAAACGCATTACTGTTTCACGGCAGAAACAGACAGGGTGGTGGTACCTACCCGCGCGGACTCACAAGAGGTCCTATCACCAGTAATTTGTCGAAATCGCAATCGTAAATCCCAAGACGCCAAGTTAAATCTCCTTTTTTGTTCATTCCTCATAAGACACAAAGCGTGCACGTGATAATGTACACGATATTATCCTATTAAATATTTTTTAAAGTAAAGTAACATTTGGATGCCTTTCCCCGGGCAAGGCCGTTACATTCCAGCGCGGTTTATTAAATACAATTAATTGTTTTGTATCAGAATAAGTGAATGTCAACGATCGTTATCTAGTTTCGATTGAGGTCTTAAATGGCGTTTTCATTGACATGGACACACCGCCTGATGGTAACTCTTGATTGTAGAGAACTTAGTATTTCCCAAGTTCTACGTTGGTGACGTTTTTCTTCGGTCGCGCCACATGACATTGGAGTAATGACTTTCGTCAAGGTGGCTTCGAAATAGGAATGTATGAAGTCAGCTCAAATTCCTAGATGACAGAGTTAGGTCTTTCTCCTTCTCTTCGTTCTTAGAGATTCTCCATGTCATTGTTACCTCTTGCTCTCTCCCCGGAGAATGCTATACAGCACAAACTAGTTATATTTATATATGGCTGAAGTGTTTTGTTTTTTTATAACACACTAGCTGACCCGGCAGACTTCGTAGTGCCTCAATCGATAAACAAAAGACCTAAACTTTTGTATAAAATAAACTTAAAACAAACAAAAGTAATCCGTCCGAGGGGGGACACATCAAAGGAAAAACAAAATTGTTATTTTTATTTAATTCTGATCATTTTAATATTTATCTACCTTTTAAACCTTCTTTGGACTTCCAAGAATAATTCAAGATCAAAATTAGCCAAATCGGTCCAGCCGTTCTCGAGTTTTAGCGAGACTAACGAACAGCAATTCATTTTTACTTATATAGATTTTATGTGTAGAGCAAAAGAAAACTTTTGCAACACTATTTTAAAACCGCAACTCTCTCTTTCACGCTCTACCCTGGGAGGCTAAAGAAAAGAGAGAGAAATTGAATAATCAGAAACAAGTCATCTTTGTCAACTCGAGTTTAACCTGAAGAGTAGCGTTGTAGAATAGTCATTCTTATTAAAATGCAAGCTGAATTAAAAACGCTTATTGTGTGAACTAGTATCGCGATAAAAACGATTCTGTCATACTTAACGGTTGCAGACTCCTATACACGGGCTCCCACACGAGTCAATAATCTTAAAGCGTGAACAAAAAAATCATTGACTTTTAATACTGATTATTGTGATTATGTGAGGCGTAGAATGGAGTGTTATAATTTTATTATTATAATGTATTACATGTATCAGTAAAAACTCTGATTCATAATAATATTGTTGTTTATTGCGATTATTCAAAGCGTATTTGAATGGATGGAGAATTTTTAAGCTATTGCATAGATTTTATCGCGGGCCTTGAGCGCGGCGACCGAATCATGAAATTCCATAACGAAAAAAACCTAACACCCCTCACTCCGCCTACCATGTAGCTTGCGTTCAATACATTCACAGGTTGCGCTTGTGTAGTGTTTGTGAATAAGCGCGTGGCGTGACGTCACACTGCATGCGCATCATGAAAAGTCTGCCCATCTCTCTCTCGCGCGGTCTAACTGCTATGCAATAGCTTTACCGCGGCAGTTCCCGAGTGCCACACGTTTGTTTTTTTACTGCCTTTGGAGATAAATGAGCATACGGTCCACCTGTTGGTGAGGGGTCACCAGCACTCACGGACATCAGCAATGCCTAGGGCACAGCCAGGCCCACCTGCATATTAATATATTCTAATAAAATTTTGGATGACGTAGTTTGCAAAAAAGTAGTTGCCATTTTTTACTTTTCAAAAATATATTCATATTCAATGACATCAATAGGATTACTGTCGTGTTTAAATAACTGTTGTAACCGGGTCAAAACGAGGATATTATTTTTTATTTCGATCGTAATAACAAGAAAACAAGAATTTTAGAGGATCGCGGTGTAGTTCGGAATC